TCAACTTTAGTACATTTGAGATTTTAATTATTATTTACAGTTCCTAGTCCTATCAGGCCTATTTTAAAGTATGACCACCTTGGTGGGATTGGTTTGTTTGAAAATTTGAAAAAGGAGACTACTTATAACTACTATTTACAACTACAACTAACCTACAACTACTATGTACACCTAACCTACTATATACAAATTGCTTATCAAAGCATGTTCTGATAAATTACATTTTTGTGCAAATTTAGTCTTAATTTCGTTAATTTTGGAATCTATTTTGGCAATGCCTGCCTCTTCATGTAAATTTGTTATTCTAGTGTCGAAAGGACGATCAAGAACCATCCTCAGCACTCTATTCTGAGCGACCTGGATTTTGTTCCTGTGAGTCTGTGCACATGATTCCCACACCGGAGCTGCGTAGAGGATCGCAGGTGCTATGATTTGTTTGTAGACGGCCAGTTTGTTCACCCTTGAGAGGCGGGATCTGCGGCAAATCAGCGGAAACAGACACCTAACCAAGGTAGAACACTTGACTACAGTTTTCTCTACATGCGAACGGAAGAGGAGCTTTTCATCGAACAACATCCCGAGATAGGTAACTTCGGCAGACCACTCAACCCTTGTGCCACCCATGATTACAGTACAAGATGGAGCCGGTTTCAGTTTGGGCGATTGCCGATGGAGGAACATGATCGCTTGTGTTTTGGTGGCATTGATTTTGATTTTCCACGTGGTGGCATAATCAGCAAAGGCGTTAAGGCATCGTTGAAGTTTGTTCGTTATTTCGCGAGGCATCCTTCCTTTGACGGCTATTGCGGTATCATCTGCGAACAGGAAAAACACGCAACCGTCACCGAGGGGAGGAATGTCGGAAGTGTAAATGCTGTAAAGCAAGGGGCCCAGCAGACTACCTTGCGGGACTCCTGCTGGGATCGAAAACGTGTCTGAGAGACAACCATTCAACGATACCTTAAACGACCTTTGCTGGAGGTAGTTACGGGTGATTTTAATAAGATGTAAAGGAAAGTTGAAGTTACAAAGCTTGTACACAAGTCCATCATGCCAAACATTGTCAAACGCCTTTTCAACGTCTAACAAGGCCATGGCTGTGGACTTGGATACAGCTTTGTTACTTCGGATGTTATTCATCACCCGTACTAGCTGATGATTGGTGGAGTGCCCCTTTCTGAATCCAAACTGTTCCGGAAGGAGAATGTTATTTTCCTCGACAAACTTGAGCAAACGATTGAGAATGAGTTTCTCGAACAATTTGCTCAGCGCTGAAAGGAGGCTGATGGGTCTGTAGCTTGAAGACAATGTTGGATCCTTACCAGGTTTGCGGATCGGTATGATTTTTGCTACTTTCCAGATGCTTGGAAAGTAGTGCAGTTCCAAACATCTGTTGAAGATAGCGGTTAGAAGAGACTGCACTTTCATGCTGAGTCTCTTCAAGATCAAGTTGAATATACCGTCAAACCCGGGAGCCTTCATGTTCTTGGTGCATTTCAGCGCTGAGCAAATTTGTTGTACTGTAATCATATCCGCCGGAGGCACGACACAAGGGGAGGTATCTAGGTTTTGAACGCATTGCGCAACCTGATCTTCGAGCGGACTTTGGATAGTCGAGCCAAGCAAATGCGATGAAGCGACATGCTTGCCGATCGCATTTGCTTTCTCCTGTGGGGTAATTAAAAGCCGATCGTCATCATTTTCGACTTTGAGAGGTGGAACGGGTTTGGGATGATTTTTCAGGACCTTGGCTACCTTCCAGAATGGTCTGGAGCGGTCATCCAGATTCTGGACAACACGCCCGAAACTTTCATTTCGGAGTGAGTCCATTCTGGAAGCAATCTGCCTATTCAGATCGGCCATTTCAAGTTTTTTGCCCAGATCTCCAGTCCTCTGAAACTGGCGTCTACGAACATTTCTCAACCGAATCAGTAATTGGGTGTGGGAATCAATAGCAACAAACTTACCCCTCACAGGAACTTGTCGAACGTATGCCTCGTCAGCCATGGATATGGCCTGTTGGAGCCCTTCCAACGTCCGGTCGATGTCATCTACGGTGTTGAGTAGTGGATTTTCATCGATGTTGCTGTCCACCATTCGTCCGTACTGCACCCAGTTGACATGGTGGTAGTCTTTACGCAGGCAGCTTCTAGCAGGAACCACATTGACACCGACTTCAGTCACCACCGGTTGGTGGTCGGAGCTGAGATCGTTGTGCGCCTCCGGCTTGGATAGTCCGATGTTTGACAGGAAAAAGTCCAGCGTGGAGGGATTTCCCGCCGGAGAGATGAAAGTTGGTTCGTCCGGAAATTGCACAGTGTACAGACCATGTTGTGCGTGGTCGAACAATAGACATCCGTTCCGGTTCCTCTGATAGTTCCTCCAAGTTTCATGGCGGGCGTTCAGGTCGCCCCCAACGATGAATCGGGAGCTAGTACGGGTGATGGCGGTCAGGTCCTTCTTGAATTGGATTCCTAATCCGTTGCTTGCGGTACACTGGCGTGGGCAGTAAACAGCGATGAACCGGATGTTTCCAGTTGGTGATTCCACCTCCACACTAATGGCCTCGATGATAGAAGTGCGGATGTGGGGCAGAGTGCAAAACTTGATTCCCTTTCTGACGATGACCGCTACACCACCCCCCCTGGAGCTAGTGCGATCAAGCCGGATAATATTGTGGTCAGGCAACCAGAAGCTGTCACCGGACTTTAGGTGGGTCTCGGTTAGAAGAACCACGTCGATGCTATGCTTGCGGAGGAAGTCGGCAAGCTCAATCTGTTTTGCTCTTACAGAGCAAGCGTTCCAAGTAGCGATGGTTAGCGGTTTAGACGCCATACTGGATGATGAACTTACCGAGCACTTGGATCTGTTCGGGCTTATTGCGGCACTTACGTAGAGCACCGGTCATGTTGATGAAAATTTCCACCAGTTCATCCGCTGAAAACAGATCGGGGTTGTTGTTTTGCGCTGGTGGTTGTCTCCAGAATCCAGGGGGGGATGGAGAGCTTTGGCCAGCAGAATCACCAGAAGTTGCTTGAGCGGAATGCACCCGCGAATTTGCTTGCCTTTGCTGAGGAGCACGAAGAGGCGGGAAATCCTCCGTCCGAAATGCCGGGACTTTGTCCTTCTTGCGTCCTGGTTGGTTGTTAACTGCCGCCTGTTTTCGGATGCGTTTGAAGTCCTCGCGTTTGGAGCACTGTCTGTCGGAACCTTGGTGAGCACCACCACAGTTGGCGCATTTTAACGCCACGGCTTCATCCGCAGGGCAGTCGGAAGTGGCGTGGTCTTGAGCGCAATTGCCGCAGCGTGGCTTAATGTTACAGTTGCGGGTGCCGTGTCCAAAGTTCAGACACCGTTGGCACTGAGTCACATCGCGATGGCCGCCACGGTATGGCTCCCAGCGGACGATGATGCAATTAATGGAGCGGATGGCTTTCAGCGCGTTGAGCGTCACCGTTCCCTTCTGGAAGTGTACCAGGAAAAGGCAATCCGGATACGCCTTCACATTCTCGTCTCTTCTTGTCATCCGATAGACGGCACTTGGGGCCAGCTTGTACCGGTCCCTGATTTCAGCTTCGATAAACTTCGGGTCGAAGTTTGGTAGGCCCCTGATGACGACCTTGAATGGTTTCTCACCGGGAATGTCGTGGGTGAAGAATTCCACCTTGGAAGTCCTCAGGTGGGCGACGACCAAGTCATACTCCGCTTTGGTACGGAGCACCACCTTGGTGCCGACTCTGCCCAACTTGTATTCGGCTTTAACGCCCAGCGTCGCTAGATCCGCGATGAGCTCATTAAGATGAGCATTTTTTACCACCAATGGAGGTAGCTTCACTTTTGCCGCACTCGGGCCGGCAGAATTTTCGTTGTCGATGGTGTCGCCGAAATCACCGATGTCGCTGGCGTTCGTTGCTGTGACGTCATCACGTCCACTCGCACCATCGGACTGGCTTTGGTTTTTCTTCCTCTTCTTGGATCGCTTCACCGTGGCGGAGGTGGTATTTCCAACATCGGTGGGAAGAGTAGCGTACCTATTTGAAATAGGTACACTCGTGCTACACTCACCACTGTTCTTTTCCGCTTTCTCACGGAGCCTGCTCCGGGAGCGCTGTCTTCCCATCACACGATGCGACCGACACTACTGACGACGCGAATAAAAGTTTTGGAATAACTATCGAACAACTCGACAGAGCGAGCAAATACCGGACTGTACTGCTTGACGAACAAGCAGAGAATGAGCTCATAAGATCAAGTACGTTAGGCTAAGTTATACCTACTCGTAGTTAGGTAGGTTATCACTTTTTGACGTAGGACTATTTTCATAACACACCGCCCAAGGGGTATTCTGTAGATTAGTAGAAAAACGTGAATACGTAAATTAGAATAGCAAATGAAACAAAGATGAAGAGCCTGATAGGATAGGAAATGTTAAAACAAAGTAAAATCATAATTAACAGAAATAAACATAATTTTACTACTACTACAAACAGACATTGAACTTAGGTCGAAAAAGCACAACCGCTTTAATCATCCTGATGAAGATCCAATTCAAACGGGACTATCAGCAAATAGAAACATAAAATGAATACCAACGAGTAGCGGTAATATTTGTCTACCAGAGAACAAAACTTTCACAACAATCAATATTGTTTCAATAGGTGAATCTGATGGTTTTTCATCAGCTATTTGCTAGTTGAATCGAACATTTATAAAAAGAAGGCAATGTTATGGTATTTCTAGTAAATATAGTCCATTACAATGATGATATTTGGGAAACTACATAAGGCGAATCGCTATTCGGAGGTATTAACAAAATATTTATCAACCTGCCCTTGGTAGAAATCGTTGTTTTAAAACTATTTCTGGTAGAAATCAAAATATATCGCATGGGCTCGTGTTTTCCGTTTACATCTTTACCCTAACACAGACATCAGAATCGAACCACAATCAGTCCTTCGTACATGTTTATAGGTTCTTTTTTAGCACATACATTGTAGTAAGCGAAATTCTGTGAATCAACATGACTGAATCCGATAATGAAGTTGTTGCCCCGGCTGCTGCCTCGCCTGCCAAGACCCCAAAGAAGGCCAAGGCCACCAAGCGAGACGCCAAGCATCCGGCGAAAACAGTTACACATCCACCAGCGAGTGAGATGGTCTTAGCCGCCGTCACGGCCCTGGATCAACGCAAAGGATCATCCCTACAGGCCATTAAGAAGTACATCACTACTAACTACCAGTGCGACCTTGCCAAGTTGAACATCTTCCTCAGAAAGGCTCTGATCAACGGCGTCGAGAGGGGTATTCTATTCCAGACCAAGGGATCCGGTGCCAAAGGATCGTTCAGACTCCAGGAACAAAAGCCACGAAAGAAAAAGATTACCAAGAAACAAGCTGCCGAGAAGAAGGCCAAAAAGCTTGCAGCCAAAGCTGCCGCCGGTGCAGAGGCCACCACTCCCTCGAAGACCGCAGTTAAGAAGCTAAAGAAGCCAGTCAAGAAGCCAAAGACGCCAGTTAAGAAGTTGAAAACCCCGATTAAGAAGACCCCAGTCAAGAAGCTGAAGACCCCGGTGAAGAAGACTCCAGTTAAGAAGATTAAGACCCCGGTCAAGAAGACTCCAGTTAAGAAGCTTAAGACCCCGGTCAAGAAACTGAAGACCCCAGTCAAGAAACTAAAAACCCCGACCAAGACAGCTTCACCGAAGAAGGCCGCCGGCAAGAAGTAAACTTGCAAACGACGTGCCATGCACGTAACAGACTCCCAAATCAGTCCTTTTCAGGACTACTAGTATTTATGTCCAGCAAGAGTTTGCTTTTGGAATAATCTTCGGTCAGCAAAACATAATCCCCGAAACTTATGGGGTGTTGACACATGTGCGGATTTACTCGCCAACTAGCACCCCATCAGCAGCCAAACGTCACTTAAACCGAAAATAGTATTATGTAACTTTCATTGGAAACGCAAATGATTTTCATCTATTAATAAAATTAATGGATGGAATAATCTAATTTCATATAACATTTATGCGATCACGTTAATTTTATATGATTTTTCATCTTCGGTCTCATAATATTCATGTGATTTTGTGGTCGCGTCTTATTTCCGGTTAAACTCCAGATGATTGTGATCGACTGGTTCCTCTTAAAATATCTGCTTGGATTTCATCCGAAGTTTCGGTCACATATATTGTGCCTTTTTGAAGGAATCTTTTGGACTCTATATGTTGGTAGAATGTTCTACTTTAGTATTTTGTGTTCACATACTAACCAGGCTCGGTTTTATTGTTCTATGAGCCACAGTATAGGCGTAATAATAATCTAAAAGTATCGATTCAATACGATTATCGATTAACCGGTTGGCTCAGCAAAGAACACCGGAAGCCCCAACGGTGACGGTCAATGCTGAGCAATGACGGAACAATACAGTTCAGAACCAGCGGTCCGAGGAAAACCTCTTTTGAAGTTACTAATCAAATCACTAAATTTATTGAAGGCAAGCGATGTCACGTAGGTAGTTAATTCACTTCCAGAGGTACTAATACCTTATCAGAAATCATAACACACTTCAAATTGGACGCATACCACGATCACATTTTAAATCTCAATCGTAACATGCTAATGAATTTCATTCCCTGCATCAATGTAGGCCAAAAGTCCAGTGCCACCGCAGCTTGGTTGCAAGGTAGGGAAAATGGATCCAAGATTGAGCCCATCGCTAAAAATCTGCTATTTACCAATCTTATCTAGATGAACGCGGTACTGATGGATATTTCAGGGCGCTATTGAAAATTTAGTCGAGTTTAATTTTAGATAAGGATAGAATGATAATAACACTGCACTGGTTAATTTCTCGGTATTCAAGACACGCCTACACCAATCGACCACCATCGGGTGTCTTCCACTACTCTCGATGAGGATATCGATTAACATGACTAGAAAGATTTAACCTTGTTATTAATGGATTCATGTTATCACTCCTTGCGCACCGCGAAGAAAAATGTTCAGACTTTTGCTGAAAACTAAACTATTTCGAAATGTCAATAAAACGAAACTCTTCACCATCAAATTGGTCGTCCTGAAAAGGACGGTTTTGTATGTTGGGCGTGGTCTTCAATCAAATTTAAGCCTTCTTCTCGGTCTTCTTGGGCAACAGGACGGCCTGGATGTTTGGCAAGACACCACCCTGAGCGATGGTCACTCCGGAAAGAAGTTTGTTCAGCTCCTCGTCGTTGCGGATGGCCAACTGCAGGTGACGTGGGATAATTCGAGTTTTCTTGTTGTCACGGGCGGCATTTCCTGCCAATTCGAGAACTTCAGCGGCCAGATACTCCATCACGGCAGCCAGGTAGACGGGAGCACCAGCTCCTACACGCTCGGCATAGTTGCCCTTTCGGAGCAGACGGTGAATACGACCGACTGGAAACTGCAATCCAGCGCGGCTCGAACGGGACTTTGCCTTTCCCTTGACTTTGCCTCCTTTGCCACGTCCAGACATTTTCAAGGGTAAAAAAAGGTGAACTGATGTACGCACGACTCTAGCAGACGAACGCTGAAACTGTAATGATGTCATTTTGACCGTCGAGGGTGGTCTTATACCTGCGTCAAGTAGCATATTATGAATACAGGGACGGTACAATACATACTGTGGGTAGCAAAATACTGAAAATGGGATGAGTGTCGGTTGTCTCTACGGGCATGAAACGAGACAGCGTTGCCAGTATTCCTGATTTATTTGATCTTCCAGATTTTCAATCGTCTTGCCAGATACTTACCCAGATATAATTCACTTATGTGTTATTACGTTTATTTCAAGAATTTTTAATTATGTTCCGTATTTTCCTAGGTTTTTTTTAAATATGTTGCTTTAGAGAATTTCCAGCCCAAAACAAAACCGGTTGGACATGAGCGCTTCCGAAATCAGTCCAATAGAGGCGATAGGGGCAAGAAGACCATACGGGGCGAGATGGGCCACCGTTCGTTTGGGCATAATACCTACACGGCGAATGAGAACGACCCAAATTTGAGTTTAGTTCACTCATAATCGCCAAAAGTGCAGGAACTCAGCGATGAGTAAAATTTGTCTCCTGTTTTCCCAGGATTTTCCAGGTAAAAATTCCCGAAGTCGAGAAAAGTAAAGATTGGATTTACTCAGTCTATTTGGTACTACTACGAGAACTGAATAAAAATTTTGTCAATTTCCTCATTTTTTCGGTAGATTTTTTAGGTTTTCCACAGGAAACCATGAGACAAATTTTACTCATCGCTGAGTTCCTGCACTTTAGGCGATTATGAGTGAACTGAACTCAAATTTGGGTCGTTCTCATTCGCCGTGTATTAACTCAATATATTTTTTTTACAAACTTGTTGAAAATGCATCTCCATGAAAACCATATCAATATTCAATTACATGTCTAAGATAATAATGGAAATGTAACATTAGCTCAAAATCTCTAGAATATTATAAGATATGCTGTCAAGAAAACAAGCATCGCATTCCCTATATTACATTTTACTGATCCGCTGGTTCTACAGCGAGCAATACACGTAACTGTTGCTAAAAGAACTTATGTTTCTATTTCACATGATTCCTGAATGTTATTTTCTAGTGAAAACCTGTCAAAACCTTTACTTTTTCTAGGGTGCTCATATTGCCCCGTATGGTTGTTGATCGGAGATGTGTTTTTCTTAGGGGGACCATATTACCCCTATCTACCCTACCTTAAATTTCAGTAAAACGCATATAGTAGTTTTCAGCAAAAAAAATGAATTACTTTTAAGTATATTCTGCCCAAAATTAAGTTTAATTCACGTAAATTTAAGAATATGTAATTTACTCAAAAGTAACTTATTGAGCTGAAATATATCGTTGGATCGAATCACTCGTTCCTTTTTTGACAGCAATAATGAGTGCAAGGGAGATACTCAACTCAAAATTAAGTAAAAGTAACTCAAATTTGGGGTGCATCCAGGGTTGCTTCCACTCACTTGCTATAAAAAAAATGTTTTTCGTTCATTAGATGCTATAATGATATTTTGTACTTGTAAGATACAAGAAGAGGTTGAAAGGCAAGTGTTTGACACATAAAACCTGTCAAATTTGCTTTCAGATAGTCACAATCCGCGATTTTACGACTCGCGAGCGCTCAATCTGAGTGAACGCTCACGAATCATAAAATCGCTAGTTGTGACACTCTGAAAGCAAAATTATCAGGTTTCATGTGTCAAACACATACTTAACAACCTCTTATTTTAACTTACAAGTACAAAATATCATAATAACATCTAATGAACGAAAAACATTTTTTTATAGCAAGTGAGTGGAATGCAACCCTGGATGCATCATCTCAAAAGTAAGTTTAAAGAACTTAACCTTTGAGTAGTTTTGGTTCTCCGTGTTTATATGTTTGCTGCACGCTATTTCAAAACTACCCAAATTAGGGTATAATCCACCCATATTCGTCAAAACTGAAACTACCCAAAAATGGGTAAACTGTGTTGGGAGTGACAAGTTGACAAAAAATGAACAACGTAGATCGGATTCAACCTGGTCTATACAAGGTGTGGAGATCTATCCCTGACGTATGTGTTGGTAGAGGGAAAAATGTAAACTTTGCGGGAGACGATGATGAAGACGTCATAGCACTGGAACGGAAAATTTGCGAAATAAGAAGTAAAACAAATCCTAGCTATTTGTGCATGATGGTTTTGCTTGATTGTATTCTTTTGTAAAGTCGCCGCGAAGTATCAGCTGGCAATTTTTATTGTATGATAACTTCTTACTTGAAAACAGGCAAAAAATCATAAACAGGCTGCTTTTTCATGGTTTACAGTGTGATAATTCAATAATCAATTAATTATCTCAACATTTAGTAGCAGACCATTCATACATTTTGGTAATATACATAAATTTTATAATCCATATTAATTTTCCTATGCAAGCGCTGATCGAAACAAACGCTATGACGTCACTACAAGAGTGATTGAGTGAACGAAAGAAACGAATCGTGCGAAGCGGAATGAAAGCCGAGTGAAAAACGAAGTGCACCAATACATTCAGGCCTACAATTCCACACCTTGTATAGACCAGGTTGGATCGGATTGATGTCAATGTTGTTCATTTGTCAACTTGTCACTCCCAACACAGTTTACCCATTTTTGGGTAGTCGATCGTACTCACTTTCGTCCGATGTATCGAGTTGTCAAAAATTGAGTAAACGAGAAATGTCAAACGGAGTAAAAGCCACTCAGTCAGCAAAATTCTGGACTTGGAAATAATGCCTGTCATGTCGGAGGAAACCTTATAGGAAATGTTACTCAAAACCGGCTGAAATGCCTTCAGGTAAGTACGAATTGGGTTCTTTAAGCGTATTGAGGTAAATGCACTGAACGAATTTGACATATTCCTGTTATGTGGAAGTCTAATAAATTTGCGCTATAAGATAATCCATTGAAAATGATATGATTGAAAATGTGTCAGGTAAATTCTATATGAATATCTGATACATTTACAATGCTGATAATTTGGTAACTTTTATATGATCGTCATATGATAAATGAAAATCGATCAAATTATAATAATTAACTGAAATGGATTTGAAACCCATAAGCATAAGCTATACTTTTCACCACAATATAATATATGTGTCATAAATCAATCGAAGTAAAGTTTATGTGAAAATAACATGAAATTTACTTCTTCTTTTGACACATATATTTAATCGATTTCTAAAAATAAATTCGAAAAATAAACATCAGG